TTGTGAGGGTTCAGGATTTAAACTCAGCTGGCTGAACTGCTTAGGAGTTAACCAGTTCTTAGGAAGCAGCAATACGTGGATGTGCTTTTTCTGTTCCTCTGACAGTAAACTAAGGGGATTAGGGACACCAGGCAACAGCTCTGCTGCCTTCAGCCAGTTGTACCAAGAGGCGAGTCATCTTTGTGCCTGTGTTCCCTGACAATATGTTCTTTGGGGCAGCTTCTCAGTCATAGGTGTGTGTAGCCTCTAGGTCTCGGTCTTACCTAACTAAGCACGTGGTGCTAAGCAGTGCCCCGACAGAGCAGCTCTGGCTGCACAGACGGTTTGGCCTGCTCTTCACCACTAAAACAGCTGAGCCTGCACTGTAGCCAGATGAAATAATCTGTTGCTTATGTTGCCCTTGAATTCCAGGGTGTCAGTTCTGGTCCTCTGTAAAAAAACAGGTAAGTGGTTATGGAAACCAGCATCCTAGCACTCCACGTTGTGCAGTTTGGAAGATGAAAGTGGGACTGCAACACCTAGTAGTAGTGTATTCTAAGCTGCACCTTAGTCCCATGAAATAGTACCACTACTCTCACATCACCCTAGCTCATTCTTCCAAACGGCCCAACTTCAAAAATGCTGCTTCGCTTCAGAATTCTCCAAGTTTTCTGGCAAAGCCACACTTAGTTCCTTGGTACCTGTGTGCTGCCAGTGGACAAGGAAGATATAGAGCAAGTTAATAAACTACATTTAATAAGGAAAAGGAAAAAAGATGCATTTTATGCAGCTATAGTGTAATTGCTCACAGAAGCCTGTCTGAATTGCTTGGCAATGCTGATGGCATCTAATAGCTACAGATACCTTTCCTGATTCCTGCTACAGAGCGCTGTAGTTGTACAGCACTGTGAGCGTCAGTCCTTGCGGTATAAGGATGTTAGAAGAAAAACCACGTCCTGTGCTGATAGACGTAGCATGCAGTAAGTGGAGGTATATGGATACAAATGAAACGTGGCTGTAAATGCAGCTTTCCAGAGCTTGTGGTGTAACCATGTGGAGAGCTGTGTTGGTGTCCTGAATTTAGTGTTGTTTTGTTTTGTTTTGTTTTTCCAGGAGGAGGAGTGCTCTTTGTAAATGGGAATAAACAAATATGTTAGTGCTATTCAAGTAGTATCCGTATCCATCACTTTGTCTGAAAGCCATGAAACTGAAATTCTGTTTGCCTTTGTACACAGCCTTTTTCCAGAAGCAATGCACATTTATTTCTGAACTCTCACTTTACTACACCTGTATACACATTTATTGATACATTTATTCTCACTAGGTTGGGAGTCCATGGGTTACTTATTCACTATGGAGTGAGTTTTGCTTCCTTCCTTAGATGACAAAACTGTGTTTTCAGTGGGTTCCAGAACAATCTTCCTTCCTTCAGTTCTCTTTTAGAAAAGTACTCCTTTGCGTGTGCTTCTGTAACTGCGTGGGGTGGTGAGAAGGCTTGCAACTAGGTCAGAGACAGAAGGGAGGGGATATGGACAGTGCTCATTGTCTACTCACAGTCCCATGACAGTGTTGTGCGTGCCGCTAGTTAAGGCAAGTAGAAGAGAAATTTTGCTTAATATATTCCTGACAACCCAGACTTTCTGGAATAGTTCTCCTTTTTGAGAATGCAATTCCACTTCTAGTGTTAATTTTTGTTCTCTGCTATCCAATCTGTTTTAGTCAAGTTACTTTATCTTCAGTGATTGCCTGTAGAGTGTTGATTAAACCAACAGCATTATTCTGTGACACTGAGGTATAACCAGTGCTTGCCATACAATGAAGTAGCTCGGAGCTATTAACTGAGTAGTTACTTTATCTAAGTAGGCACCATTTCAAAAGAGGAATTCTGTTCCTAGCAGTGAAAGTAACCCTGGAATTAAGGGATTGCTTGAGGGGCAGTTGTGTAGTACCTGGCCGTGTGAATTTTATTGGCTGTCAAATTAGCATTCGGTCTGTTCTTTTCCCCTGTTTCAGCATTTTGAAATTAACATAAAAAGATCTGAGTGTTAATTTAATCATCTCTCTGACTCATGTACTGGAGGAAGAAAAGACATGGTAATTTTTTTTTAAACATTATCCAAAGCTCAAGCTGTGATGCAGCAGTTTGCAAGGGTGTCCCACTGGTTCTGGTCATTTCAGACCTTCCCCAATAGCTAAACTTTATGACCACAAGGGTGAGGATGAACTCTGGCTATGACCTGGATCTGCAATTCACAAGTGTTTTTCATACAGCTGCAATAATATTCCAGAAAATGTAATTGGCCTTTTACTTCATTCACTTCTGCAAATGAAAATAAAGCTACTGTGAGAGCAGATCTTTTGCTAAGAAAATATTTTTTTTAATATTTTTATAGCTCTGTCAACAATAAAGGAGTCTCACAGTCTAAAGTCTTTCTCTAAACCTTTTTAATGGAAAAAACTTCATAGAAAATATCCTTTTACTTTTTTAATAACATATAACTATATACATGATTAAAAACTGTAACAAAAAGCTGCAGGGACAGGAAAAATGTTTTGTTGGATCCATGCAGATGGTACATTTAAAAAAGGATTTTACAAATCCATGTACATCAAATGGAGCTGCAGTGACAAGGTTGAAAAAATGGCAACTCTATATTATTTACCTGAATGTACAGGGAATAGAGCACAGACATACAAAACACACAGAAAGAATACAAAAGAGTACACAGTGTAAATGCTGTTACCACAGGAAATCTCTCTCTTTCTTTTTTTCTTTTTTTTAGGTAAATAGGAGAAAGGAAGTAAAATCTCCTTTTTCACATTTTATATTGCAGTTTAAAAGGTAACTAATTATTTGCTGTATTTTGTTTTTCTTAACTCTGGCATACACAGTAGAAGTATATGGCACCTGCATTTAACAACTCAGGAATATTTGGATTCATTTCCATGTCTGTGAATGCACTGTCATTTCTGAATAACATCGTGTATACATATTGCTTTGAAAACACATGATATGCAGATTGACGTGAGTTAGAAGTAGAAAATATTGAGGGCTACAACACTACCAAGTGCTGTATACCGTTGTCCTGGTCCTGCAGTGTATTTAAGGGCACACACAAGTTCAAATCTACGAGGAATTGCTCAGAGAGTAAAGTTAAGTACGTGCAGAAACAATTTGCTAAATCAGGTCTGGAGTTTTCAACAGTTCGTAGTATACACTCTGCAGCCAGAACTGTTACACCTGAGGCCATAACTCTGTCCTTACACCCCACAGAATGTAGCTACAGTAGATGATTTACTGTACTTCTAAAATACATTGTCTTAATTCTAAGTTAAAACTTAAAGTGAAACCTTAAAAAAATGTCTGGGGAGCTCTACATCTAGAAAGAAGATGGGGATAATGTTTAGTTTGTTAATTGCAAGTTGGAAGAGATTCTGTAGGCAGCAGAAAATAGCGTGTCAGGTTTTAAACATCTTACTTCTAAAAGATCATGTTCATATTTTTGTCCTGGGCTCAACAAAAAGCAGACAACAATGAAAATACGGTACTAGCCAGTAAGTTCACCTAAGGCTCCCAAGCATGGCGAGGATGGCAAGGCATAATTTAATAAGAAAATAAAATCAAGCTAACTTCTTGACAGGTGGGCTTTCGCTAGGTTCTTCCTGTGGTAATGAATACTTAATGATTCTCAGTGTAATCACAAGCAGTTTACTAGCAGACAAATAAATGGAGTCTGTGTGTGCATATACTTGTTTAAAAAAAGAAAAAGTGAAAACAACAACAGTGACAGCAACAACAACAAAACTAAGCAGGCAATGAAAGTTGAAATATTCTGTGAAGCCTTGGGATCTGTTCCTGTTCTCCTTAGCACTCTTCCACCCTGTCTGGCCATGCTCTTTTGGCAGGTAAAACCTTTTAAGTCCCTGTAAGTGAGGGAGGATTTCTGCTTGTAACAAGCCATAAAATAATTATTAAAATAAGCTTTGAAAACCAAAACACTCTGGGTCATGAAAGCCAAATCTCATGGTATTTGGATTTCATTGTCCATATAATGATTTAGTACCTTCCCCAGTTTAACCTCTTTATGTGAGCATGCTAATTGGAAAGTTGCCAATATACCAGTTTTGGGCTGGTTACAGTTCACAGCCTTACATTTTTTTTCAAAACACGAATGGTACTTGATTATGTTGTTTGATCCTAGCATTTTGGGTAAATTTGGCTTGTAAAGCCCTGTATGAAACAAGAATGTCAGAAGAAGGCAGGTCTGCTTGAGAAGGCAACTTGAAAGCAGTAAGACTTACTTTGTTTATTTAAAGAAGAGATAAATGTGTGTATGCATGCATTTGAATTTAACAGTTTTATAACTAGAACTGTTATTAAATGATGTTCAATAGCAACTTTATCTTGTTATGGTAAGTTTTATAAAGATGTAACTCTCAAGAGAGTTTAATGAAAGCATGCAGAGTTGGTTTGCATTCCTTATGCAATTATGTGCCCAGTATATATGCTGCAACTTAATTTCTTAAATACATTTTGTGTAACACTTTTTATTCCTGAGTGCTGGTCTCCATAAAGAATACAGAGGGTGGCATCATGTGCTCTTCTGCACAACATGGTCTTCCATCATTTTAGGAATTCTTCTGAGGGATCTTTATTGTCACAGTTTTAACTTCAGAATATTCTCTCAATCCACTTTCACCCCTAGAAAACAAAATGCAGGTTCATCTTAGACCCGAAATTAATTCTGTATTGAGCAAAAACTTGTAAAGTGATTCTTTGACGAAGTTAAGATATAACCAACATTTCTAGGCATAGGTTTCTGTTGTACAGTGATTTTGTACTGGTTTTCCTTTCGTGATGTCTTTCAGAAAACCTGAATATGAAGTTGCAGGCTAGTCATAAGATCAGTGGATGGCTCCAGCATTTGATAAGGAGATACAGAATGATATTAAACCCAGAAATAGTTACTGTCCCTTGATGGAACTATTGGAAGTGAACTGATGCACTCTGTCCTTTCCAGATCCTGAAAATGTTCAAATACCGAGACCTCCACTACTGACCAGTGAATTTACTGCTTGTATCTGCACCCAAGAAAAAGAAGGTCTAAACAGTACTATGGAAAACGAACTGCTCACAACTTTGGATAAAGGTAACAATGACACCTAACCCACTGGTCTTTTTTCCCTGACAAAATGTTCAGCAGCAGAAATCAACATTTGCACTTACTGTGAAAGAGAATTCAGCCTGCTCGTATTTCCACTAGGTAGCTAGAAAACCTGTTTTTGTCCTGGCACAGCTTCTTATCTAAGATCCTACATACTTTTAGAAGCTAGTCACTTACTAGGTCCCAGTCATCTGACACATGACTCTGTGGGATACATGTTCTCCTTTGTGTAAGTGATGCTCAAGAAATGTGTTTCTGAATGCTTTGTAGATTTTATTGTAGTCAGCTCTGGCCTGGCTCATCTCGTAGACAACTCTGCTGAGGCGCAGAGCAGCTATGGCATGGCTTCTTGGACGTTTTGCCTGTCTCCTCTTAGGTACAGATACTTGCACTTTGCTGTGCATATTTTCGGTGATGGAGATGTGTGTTCTAGTCAAGTCACAAGTTATGTTCTGCTGGCTGCTGTGTATGTAAAGCAAACAAAGTCCCCACCTCAAAACATGCACAGTCCAAGCCCATGAATGGAGGTTCTCTTCTATATGAACTTATATGAGGATTCTTTTGCACAAGCACTTAGAGTCATTTGCTTCTTGGTTAAATTCTTATCCCCATCCATAAAACACACCCAGTACTGTTCTCTTACTTATATTAAAACTAAAAAATGCTGACACGTGCATTATCATATTAGCATGTTTAGCGTTTGACACTGCCTTCCCCCTGGATCCAGCTATGCAGAATTTAAAATCCCAGCTATACCATAAAGAATATTTCAGGGGAATTCCTCAGAATCCCAGTCTAGTAAATGTTGTTTTCAGAATGGAGTGAGGAGCCACTGTTCAAAGCAATTAAAACCTTCAGTCAGTCCCCAGTGTCGCATAGCCTGCTTTGTGTTTCCTTCTATACTGTATGTTTTACACAAAACATAATGTTGGGGGAGGAGTCCTGTGACTTTCCCTGGAAAGTTAATGAATTTGTGCAGAAATACAGCATTTACCATCCCATTTCACCCTACATGCAGTTTTGAAAAGTTGCCAACACGCTTCAGCTTGGTAAGCCTTACACACAGTTGATGTCTAACTCACTAAGGCTGGTGTTTTACTAAGCATTTTAAGATTCACCAGAGCCTAAGTACAAGCAAGGAAATATATTAGTGAAGATTCTTTAGCATGAGAAGGGATCTGATTGAGTTGGACCACCTCACCCCCAGCTTTCAGGGGAACGTCTTAGATTTGTTTCCAAAAGGATGAACAAAACAGTTATTTATCAGACTTAGCTGAGACACAAAACCATTCCTTTATGGCATACTAGAAGCTGTCACCAGGAGTTGCATGGAACCCAAAAACTAAAACTAGTAAGTCTCTCTGCATGAAAGTTTCTGCTTGATTTGGTAGTAATGCAGCTTGGCTCCAGACATCTGATGAACGCATTTTTGCAAGTCAATATGTAACCTGCCTCACAGTATCCAGTGCCTTTGTGTATGTTCCAACTGCCAGTTGTTTTTTTTTTTGTTTATTTGGTTGGGGTTTTGTTTGTTGTTTGTTTGTTTTTGTTTTTTACCTTGGTCTGGCAAACAAAATTAGTTGTATTTATTGGTCTAATTCTTCATCTCAAGGCTTCAGGGCCTTGTGCATTTGTATTCTGTCTGAAAGTTTGGAAGCGGGCAGTTGTGATGAATTCTAAACCAAGTGTTTTTCTAAAGTTAAAAAGGTTTTCGTGCTGAATAGGATGAAGGGTAATTCCAGACCATCAGAGCAGATGAGTCAGTGCATGTTCAAAGGGCTTGGTTGTCCCCACAGCCTAATACAGGGAGGCAGGGAGCAATAACATCCTGTTCTATGGCAACTTTGTGTCTGTTTGAATTGCAGTTTGGTATCAGGGTGAGAACAAGGTTTGTGTCTGTGAGAGGGAGGAGCCCAGAGGTCAAGTTTGCATGATGCTATCCTTTGGTTGTGGAGGTGTGAGGGAAGGGGAACAAATTGCTCTCCAAAAAGAAATGGTATTACATACCCTCCTCCCTTCCTCAAGCAAAGAGAAGAATGGTAGAAAAAAAGAATTACAACTCCAAGGCCTTTGCCTACTTGCACTTCTTTTTGGAAATGCAACTATGCACTGCTGTAGCTCAGAGTCATACAGAGAATAATAATTCCCATGACAGTAAATGTTAAGTCTGAGGTAGAATAGCACCTCCTTCCCTTGAAGATATTTGGACAGAGACCAGAATTCTGGGGGACTTGCCTGATTTTCAGTTCAATTTTACACGACTCAGTTACTGATAAGGAGCTTTAAAAAACTGTAAATGTAAATGAATTGCTCCTTAAAATTCCTTCGAGAATAAAATAATATTATACTTCTTTAAGAATAAAAGAATACTGTAGCCTTAAGGTAAACAGAAATCAGTTCCATACTGTACAAGAGTTTGGGTTCTCTATTGGTATGCACATACTCTGGTACATTTTGTGGGAGTGTAAAATGAGCGTAGCACATCTCAACTTTGGGTTCCTATTTTCCCAACGTGTGATAAAAATCTGTGAATTTTAATGCAGGAACAAAATAAGTCCCAGATAATACATTGCTAGCACAAATATCACAGTGGCAGAATTACAATCTGGCTAAAACATCGTATTAGCTTAGCAATGGCACAGATATGTATGAACACTTTCTTGTCTTGTTTTTTGTTCTTTAATTACCAGACTCAATATTATTTATGCTGTAAAACATATCACTTAAACACAGGGATCTAAGAAACCTTGGCATTTTAATAAAACATATGCAGATATAAATTGGGGGGGGTGAATTAGACGGTGATATCTGATCAAAGAGGTTGTGAAGGGAGTAAAATAATTACTCATAAGCAGGTTTTCAGGCATCTTGGTGTGAGAGAGATGATTGCCATTCCAAACATTGCCTGTTTATGGTGAGTATTGTCAAAGCTGTGGATGTGAATCAAGTGTACAGCTATCACAGATTTTTCCTTGGGAGTTGGGGTGCTGCCTGATTCTGCTTCTCCTTCCCCTCCCCCCCCCCCCCCCCCACACACACTTTCTTTTGCAAAACTCTACAATACTAATATGTGAGTATTTTGCTTGCACAGTTAACCTCCCTGAAGTCAGTGGGGTCACTCTTGGGTGTCAGGTTACTCATGTGCTCTTTCGAGCTTAGTAGTTTTAGAATATTTTCACAATGATAAGAGTTAGATGAGCTGACATATTTATGCCAGTGTGAGATCACCTCATAACTCATGAATGTGGAGAATAGTATGAATGTGTTATTCAAAGTACTCCCTAATGAGGGAAAATATTTCAGACTACATAGAGCTCATTTTATAGATCAAGTTGTATACTTCAACATATTTAAAGTTTTAAAGAGTTTGACCTTAGTTTAGTTTTACTGCTGAGTTTGCCATTAGCCATTAGCTATTTTGAAATCTTAGGTGAGACATATCTGGTATAAATGCCTCCTGCACAGAAATTAATTGAATCCTTTGTATGCACAACCAATCTGGGGCTGACGCAATTGCTAAACATTTTTGTGATTGTAATGAGAACTAAAAACTGCTAAGACTTTCAGTTAGGTACATGGGACAGCATTTTAGAAGGTAGCTCCGTTTCAAAATATTTGTGACTTTGTTCTAAACGGAATAAGACAGAAAGCTTTGCAATGGAAGGTGATTTTTTCTAAGGGATAGAAACGTATTTGTGTATTGTTCTGTAGGCCTGATTTCGTCTAACATTGTTTATAATTCTGGAAAAGACAGACACCTTTTTAATTAAATTCAGATGATCCTATACTGATAAATTTAGCAAAAGGAACAGAAAGGAAAAAAAAAATGTAAGAAAGCAAAATACATGGCAAAACAACTCTGAAACAAGTACGACAAATGAGTCAACAAGCATAAAGCAAGATATGAAAAAGAATCTTTCTGGAAAATTGCTGATTAATATGGAGAAGGAAAACTTGGAAAACACAGGTTACAGTTTGAAAAAAATACTCAGAAATTTTCAGTGTCTTTCAGAATAAGAAGGGACTTCTTGTAACTCATTTTGTTGTGTTAAAATAAATAAATAAATAAGGAAAGAAATGGTTTTTCCATATAAATCGTTTGCATTTAGAGCTGGCAGTGGTTATGAGTCATCTTACACTATGCCCTGATCCTCTGATGGGAATATGTCCTGATCTTAATTTGCATTCACTAATGTTTGTTAAGTTGTAGAGCTCAAAATAGTTTAGACGACAGCGGTGTAATACTTACATCTCTCTCCCATTGCCAGACATTTTGAATCCTCCAAAAGGACTTTGGGCATTTAAGGCATTGTAGCAGTTTATCCTGTAACAGGAAAAGGCATTAAGTCCAATTGCACTGTCAGACATGTGGACAACTCAGGAGATACTGAAACTCATGGAGCTAAGGATACTGTATAGCTCTTAGTAATAACAAAATGGTCTCTTGTTAAAAAGAAAGGAGGGACTTAAGCAAGTTTCTACTCCTTGCTTTAAAGAGAGTGGGATTTAGCTTGTGAGGACTGGAGGAGGGCACTGAACACCTGGATGTTTCAGTAATGGACTGTTAATCTGCTGACAAATTTCAGTGCCAGTTTATAACACAGAGCTATTAGGTTTGAATTTGTCCTTTTTCCACCTGATTTCTCTTGGATCTTTAGTGTATCCAGGCTTGACATATCAAATTGCAAGCTATTAAACTTTAGAAGTGTCACTTCCTACACCTAAATACAAGAGAAATAGGTGTCCCTTTGGTTCCTTCAGGTTGTAGAAAATACACGATTTCTTATGCCTCCAGCAGAAACCTCACAGACTTCCTCTGCTCCACAGAAAGGATAATTTACACTGTTTTGTTTTCAGCAATGCTGTTCAGCGGTGTAACTGGAAGGTCATGCTAACAGAAAGCAAGGCACTTTCCACTTTCAGTAGCATTCAGCTGCAGTGAGCAGACTGACTACATTCCCCAACAGCTGTTCTGTATCTTGGTT